ACCGAAAATTTAATTTAGGCACCTACTTTTGCAATGTTAATAAAAAATTTCTTGTATTACCAATTATTATTAATTTTCTTATTCTTATCTATACTAATATTCTATGTTACTAACAGCTATTAAATTGAAGGATTTGTAGGATATATATTTTTTATGAATGCTTTTTATAAACTTCAAAAAAATAGAGTTAATATAAAACCGTATACTATTCTATAGCTTTATAATTTTATAAACAAAATACGAGTAGCGGAAAAGCTCTTAGCTCCATCTACGGTAACGTGGATGAAGCAAGCATGCTATAATTTTATGTTTTTTTTTAATTTTTATTAAAAAACTATAATTCTATCACTCGACCGGATAGCCCTAGCAGCTGTGGCCATTAAATCAAAATACTACTACATCTATGTATACAGGGTGGCCCACCCAGAAAACGTTCCGCATGGCATAACGGCCAGGGTAATTCTTTTTCAGAAAATTCAAAAACACCTCAATTTTGTTTGTGAGGGGGTCAACTTTTGCCCCCAAAAATGATTGCAAAATCTTCAACCCTCTAAGCGGGAGTGTCATCCCCCATTTTTTTCAAATGGGAAGGGGGGTCAAGTGGTACCGCAATGAAATTTTTTCTATTCTCTATACCTTCCCGCTTCGTTTTTGAAAATCGGTCGAGTCAATGAGAAAATATGATGGATTGGAATTTGAAAAGTTTATTTAAACATTTATCAGAGTAAATGATAAGGATAAATTCCTTCAACCAATTTGCATTTGTTTCTTATTATTTCTAGATGTTTACGCATTTTTTCCCTTGCCAGAAGGTTGAAGGATCAGGTGCGGTAGTTGTTAGATAGCTGTTCTGTGACTTGTGCGTTGAAGATCGGGTTGCGCAGATATTCAATGAACGCCATCCTGACAAACACCTTTATGGCAAAATTGTTCGCGAGTTAATAGCAAAATTTCGCGAAACTGGTTCCGTTATGAATAAAAAGAGGCAGAGGGAAAATCCTGTAGTAAATAAAGCTATGGAGGTATTCGTATTGGGCCAAGTTGCCATGGATAGTACGCTGAGTACAAAAAAATTAGCCAATGAAACCGGCGTGAATCTTACAAGTGTCCAAAGGATATTAAAAAAACACAAGTTCCACCCATACAAAATTCAGTTGGTACAAGAACTCAACGAAGACGATTTTGATCGTCGTTTGCAATTTTGTTAAACTATGAATGAACGAATGGCGAATGATAATAATTTCCTATCCGGTTCAGGTCACCCGACTTGACTCCTTTAGACTTTTTTCTATGGGATAACACCCTGTATATTTGACAATTGCTACTAACCAACAATTTGTTTTGAGTGATCTGTGGTCTGTTTTTGTTTAAATATTTTGTTCATTATGCATGTTGGGGATTTATTTTTAAATTAATGTTAATCGTTAGGCAACCAGTACACTCAAAGAATATTTATTTCTTTTGCATAATCAAACTTGTCACTGTAAATTTTCCATAACCAAATTGTCACTCTCAACTCAAGATGTCACTTGTCTTGTTATCATTCAATACATTATTCGAATTCTCAGAATGTTGTTAACAAAAGTTTCATCTCAAAATAAAATTTTAATCAATAACAATTGGTTATCTCCATCATTTATCGGATTAATAATACAAAAATTACAGCTCAATTACAAACAATTTATTATTTATACTGATTTACAGTAATTGAGGGGTTTCTGGCAAAAACCCCATTAGTCACATATTTCGAAATTTGGAAAAACTAAAAAAACGTATATCTTGCTCCCATTTAAATTCAAATTGTCGTTATTTTTTGTGAGCTCTGGTTATAATCTGATATTACAGAAAACTAGTTTTCTTTATTTTTTTCTTATTTTCAAATTAGGAAAAGCGTGAATTTGTTTGACCTGTGGGGTTTTTGCTGGAATTTTGGCAAAAACCGTGGAAACAACCAAGTCCTCTTAGCAACTTTTCGAACGATTACGAACGACAAACAACCAAACCACAACAAGTAGCGGACTAGTGGGGTTTTTGCCGTTAAGACTTGTGACGTGTGGAGTTCTTGCGGAATTACGGTATTTTTGATCGTATGCACGGGCTGACTTATAGCACTTTTCCCGAATTCGTTTGGTAGGAACGTTATGACTAACAAATTACTGTCGGATAGCGCCATTAACTCATTTTACTAATTTTTTGACTAATAGGGTTTTTGCCAGAAACCCCTCAATTTTATTAAATTATACGAATATTCTCATTGATTATTGGTTTGAAATAAATGTGACAGTGTGCTCCAATGAAAATGCGAGTTACTAACTCTAAATTCCAATTCTGAGCTGGCAAATGAGCTAGATGCTTTAGCTAGACCGTTATTCAGAAGCTACAAACCTACCGATGAAAATATGCATGAAAATTTTATAAACTTCAAAAATTCAAGTTCATTTCAAGAATGTTTACTCCCAACGCGCGTAAAAAAAGAACATAACAACTTTTACGAGATTTAACCGATTTTGTAGTGCTATTTTCCTATCGATTAGTGGTGATATGTTTTTATCTCTATGCAATATGTCTTTGCTATACTTTAAGCTAAGGGCTAAAACGGCAGTGTTGGTATTTTTGATCTGCTGCCTGGATGACGGCCTACCGATAAAAGGAAATGCTGCTGCTAACAATTTATCATAAAAATATATGAAAAATTTGACTTTTTTTTATAAAAAGACTAAATATTTTAAAAGATTTAAGTTTTTTTAATGACCTAAGTCTTTTTCTATTTCGGAATAAAAGATTTAAATCACTAATCGTTTTGACCACATAAATCTTAAACCTTTAATTAACTTTCAAAAAATGACTTAACATCTAATGATTTTTGATTAAACCGATTTAAATTAAAAAAGTACTTAAGTTTTCTGTCACCGTGCAGCCACGGCATATAAATCAGACGGCAAGCTTTGGCGGGAACGCTACGCGCATATCCTTGCGCACGCCGCCATTATGGGTGCCAGCAACAGAAATTAACCAGTGTCGTAGTCAGTCGTAGTTTTTGTCATCGACAATATACAGTTACGGCAGCTTTGAGTCAGTAGCGTGCGGTTTAATTTATTTCATTCTTTTCTTGAGTGATATATTTTATTTTTTTTATTGTGTGATATATTTGGTTTTTGTAGTTTTATTTTCGTTTCGTGTGTGTTATATTTTGTTTTTGTAGTTTTATTTTTGTTTTTCTGAACATTTTTAATATAATAGTGGTTTGATAGTGTATTATACTTATATTATATCACTTAATAATAAAATATTGTTCATACCAATATTTTTAAGTTTAACAATTGCGTCAAATACAATTTCCTTCAAATGTTTACCTGTGCATGTAGTGTGATAAAAAAAATAAGCTAGGGATTGCTTCTAATTGGTAAAGATACCACTTACCATAAAAACATTAGACACCCAAGATGGTTTAAACTCTTTGTTCCCCTTCTCCTGGTCCTCAAAACCCACAATATTATCACGGATCACTATTATAAAATAAGTTGAACTTGATATTCATATCATCCATACCTACATATAACACAATATCGATTAAGTTCATTCGGTTCATCGAAACTTTCAACTTTGCTTTTTAGAGTCTCAAATACACTAAGATTTTCTAAGCCAGGTTTGATATCGATGTCATACATTCATTTTCTTAGTGTCTCTGGTTCTCTGGACTTGGAAGGCAAAATAGATTTGTCAAGAGCGTCTTGTATATGTTCGACCGGGAAAAGTATATCGCCAGACATTTATATTTAAATTCATCAGTTTCTCCCTTTAGCTGATTTGTTAATTAGCGAAATTTGAATATTAACAAAATTTGCTACGTCCATTGATGGACATAATTTGTACGTAGTCTCTTTATATTGTTCAACAGATATTTTATTGGGTATTTCTTTAATTCTTGTTTGTAACTCCTGGCATGTTTTTTAATTTTAATTGTCTATTCTCTACAGTTAAATATTTAATTGATTTTATCATTTTTACTTTTCGAGTAGTATGGTTAGGTTTACGATTCATTTGTTTAGATAAAAGTATTGTGTAAATAAAATTCAGTTTCAGTCAATTACACTGTTTTTTTAATACGACCCTGTCTAACAATAGTTTATTTTCTGGGAAATTTTTTAATTTTTTAATCCGGCCCTGACTCGGCACCCATAATGGTGTATTCAATGTCAAATTTTATAGAAATTTTAAACAATAGAATCTGGGCAGATTTAGCCTGCCGTGTGATTTATATGCCGTGGTGCAGCTCTGGATACGATGATATTCGAATTTATCCATTATCCATGCGACGCGCGACGCTTTGTTCTCACTGCGCAGATGACACACACACACACACACACAGTGGTCACAGAATATCCCCCTTATGTAAACAACAGCGATAACTGTGAATTAAAGCTAAACTTTGCGAACAGTTACCAGAGGCGCTTTCAGTCATCAAAGTATAGGGCTGTACTTGTCGCATATTTGAATTTTAAGTTGAGAAATATCATTAAATATTCATCTGTTTTTGTCAATCAATTAATTAGTCAATCCTGATTAGTTAAAACCGTGTATAGCTGGCTTAAGGAATTCCCGATTCCTACTTTTCAAAATGTCATTGCTTTATTTTGATGGATATATTTTTAGTTATACCAAAAATATGTTATTACCTACATTAAAGATAAAACGTATCAACGTTATTATTGAAAATTGTACCTTGTTTATTTATCTTTTCAATTGCCATTGTGAAATTTCGATATCCATTTAAAAAATCTTAATAATCTTAAAAAAAGTTTCTATATTTTTACTTATTTATCAGCTGTAATATTTTTAGACGAAGAAACGATACGCTTCATTGTTATTGTCTATTATTGTCTAAGGAGTTATCTAATATTTTTAATTATATCTCTGATAATTCCTTGCAAATCCTAAACAAATAATCGTTTAGTTTGTACTTTTCAATGTGATTCACCTATTTTATTTCTGTTTTGCAGATGGTGGAGTACTATGTAAACAACAGTGAAATAGACCCCAACTAAGCTTTAGTTTTGATCGACTTAGACATCTGTGCGCCATGCTTCTTCAGTTTGCTTTAGCAACATTTAGTTTATTTTCTACGTTAATTTTTGGCGTTTTTGCTGATTTGGAAGGACCCAACGTATGTACTAGACAGGAAACGTAAGTATTTTTTATTTAATTTAGTTTATCTATTTAGTATATTATGAGATCGATTTTTTTATTAATTTGTTTTGATATTCATTAAGGTTTTTATTTACCCTCAACCCCTTAATTTTTTTTGTTTTTTTTTCTGATAAAGAAATTAGATTTGGTTTGTTAGTATATGACATAAATTAGGATTGATTGACGTATTCAATGGTTTCCGGTCACTTCGTGTTTCACCGAGAATAACTACAGGTTTTGATTTTTAATGACACCCTCGGTATTGTTTACTTTATTCGATAGAAAATGACACTCTGAATAGAATGACATATCATAAACGAATTTTCAATCATATCTCTATTTTTTCAAATGGAACGAAGGTGGCTCATTAGTATATAATTTGGAAAAAGCATTTTTTACGAATAATTTGGTATTTTGTCGTTATAAACCGCATGTTACAATTTCAAATAGGTAATTCATATGCAAAAATGTCAGAAGTTATAGAAAAACATATGATATGTCATTCTATTCTAAATGTCCTTTTGTATGAAATAAAGTAAAAAAAAAATACCGAGGCTGTTATTTAAAAATCAAAAATTGTAGTCTTTTCCGGTGAAACAGGAAGTGACCAAAAACAATTGAATACGTCAATCAATCCTGATTTTTGTTATATAATATAATAAAGCGTACTTCTTCATACCAGACAATTCTATTGTCTGATTCCCTTACTTCTCGACTTGACTAAAAGATGGCGCCTGAAAAAGTCTTTTAATTTCTGGCGGATACGTTGCGGTTGTGCAGGCAACCAGTAATACATTTTTAATTTCTGGCGGATAGGCCATTTTTCTTGACATTGCCCCTTCTCAAATTTGATCGTCCCGATCAAGGTTTCCCTGTCTGAATCTCTTCAATCGATCCAGATGAACTACTTTCATCTTACTTCTAGGGCTGCGTTGAATCCGGTACACAACATCATTTATCCTCTTGATGACTGTATAAGGACCTTCCCATGCTGGAGTTAACTTTGGGGACCTCCCTTTCTTGCGCTGTGGGTTATATAACCATACCATATCGTCCTGTTGAAATCCCGTAGAATTGGCTCTGAGGTCGTAACGAGCTTTCATCCGGTCACTGGCTAGCGTAATCTTACTTCTTACGGCCTTATGAATTTCCATTAACCTTTCCTTCAGTTCATCCGCGTAGTCCTCTACATTTGTGGTGCCGTCGTCTGGTGATCCGAACACCAAGTCACAAGGCAACCGTAATTCTCGACCAAATAAAATCTTCGATGGTGAAAGTCCGGTGGTGTTGTGAACTGCACTTCTATACGCCATTAGGAACAGCGGTATGTGTTGATCCCAATCTCTTTGATGTTCGGCCACCATTTTCGAGAGGTGTTCTTCAATGGTCTTATTGAATCTTTCGACCATCCCATCAGACTGCGGATGTAAAGCTGTTGTCCTAGTCTTGTGAATACCAAGCAGATCACACATCTTCTGGAACAGTCTTGACTCGAAGTTCCTTCCTTGGTCAGTGTGAAGCTCTAAGGGAATTCCAAATCTACTGAAGACATTATTGACCATACTTCAGCTACAGTCGATGCTTCTTGGTTTGGAATGGCAAAAACTTCTGGCCATTTACTGAAATAATCCATCGCCACTAAAACGTACTTGTTGCCCTTGTGCGTTTCAGGGAATGGGCCTGCAATGTCAACAGCGATTCTTTCGAATGGCAGTCCAACGTTATATTGTTTCATTTTTCCCCTAGATCGAGTGCTTGGTCCTTGGCTGGCTGCACAAATTTTACATTGTCGACACCATTTCTTGACATCTTCGCAATAATCCACCCAGTAAAAGCGATCTCTCAGCTTGCTCAAGGTCTTGTTTACCCCAAGATGGGCTCCAGTTTTACCACCGTGAATTTCTTCCAATACCTGGGTAACTTTCTTCCTTGGTACCAGTAACTGAGTTGTTACTGTGCTGCCATCCGCACTTTCCCATGTGCGCTTTAACAATCCATTCTCAATAACCAGTGAATTCCACTGAGCCCAGAGAGCTTTGAAAACGAGCCCTCTGTCCGCAATATCCTGCCACGGTGGTCTCTCGCCGTTACCTTCCTTGAGCCGTAGTATTGCTCCGATGTCTGGATCTTCCATTTGATCTTTCCTCAATTGTGTCGTCGTCCACTGTTCATCGGTTCCAAGTTTAAAACTCCTTATCATGACAGTGCCTTCACGTTGTTCCGTTTTACAGCAGTGCTTACAATCGGTTTGACAGGGTCTTCTGGATAAACCGTCTGCGTTACCATGCATTTTTCCAGCACGATGTTGGATGGTAAAGTGATACTGTTGGAGCTTCTCGAGCCATCGTGCTATTTGACCTTCAGGTTGTTTCATCTCCATAAGCCACTTGAGAGCCGCATGATCTGTCCTAATTAAAAATTCTTGGCCGTACAGATATTTATGAAAATGATCAACTGCCTTCACAATTGCTAGCAGCTCCTTCCGGGTAACGCAGTAATTCCTTTCTGGTTTGGATAGAACTCGACTGTAATATTCTATCACTCGTTCTTCGCCATCTTGCACTTGTGATAGCACTGCACCTATGCCGATATTGCTGGCGTCGGTATCCAGGATATACCTCCCTTGTTGTTGCGGGTAGGCTAGAATAGGACTTGAACATAAGCCGCCTTAAGTCTTCCAAAGGCTACATCACAATCGGTGTTCCATTCGTAGCCGACTTCATCACCTGTAAGTCTATGTAAGGGTGCAGCTATATTGGCAAATCCCTTGACAAATCTTCTGTAATAGGTGCATAAACCCAGAAAACTTCTAAGTTCATGTTTGTCGCGAGGTTTAGGCCAATCCTTGATTGCAGCGATTTTCTTCTGGTCAGTGTAAATTCCGTCTGCTGAGACTACATGGCCCAAAAATTCCACTTGTCGCTGGAATAAGCTACACTTCTTCGGGTTCAAGTACAGGTGAGCATTCCGTATGCGGCCGAAGACTTCTTCTAGATTTCGCAAATGCTCCTCAAAAGTTCTTCCCATAACCAATACATCGTCGAGGTAAACCAAGCACGTTTTCCAAGTTAATCCTCTTAACACCACCTCCATGAGACGTTCGAAAGTGGCTGGAGCATTGCATAATCCAAACGGCATGACCTTGAATTGGTATAGTCCGTTTCCTGTAGAAAAAGCCGTCTTTTCTTTGTCTTCCTCGTCTAGACCAACTTGCCAGTATCCACTCTTTAAGTCGAGAGTGGAGAACCAGCACGAACCTGCCAGAGTTGTTAATGTGTCATCTATACGTGGTAGTGGGTAGCTATCTTTCTTAGTGACGTCATTGAGCTTCCTATAGTCCACGCAGAATCGTGTACTACCATCTTTCTTTGTCACCAAAACAACGGGAGATGACCATGGACTTGATGATTCTTCGATTACTCCCTCTTCTAACATCTTATCTACCATTGTCTCCATTTCTTGTTGTTTGGAAAGGGGAACTCTTCTAGGACGTTGTCGAATCGGCTGAGCATGACCAGTATTAATCCTGTGCTTCACAAAATCCGTTCTTCCACTGTTGTTCTTCTCAAAAATACTGCCATGCTTTAGCAGGAACTGCTTAGCCTTCTGTTTCTCCTCAGGTGTTAGGTGATCCCATGGCTGTTCTAGATGTTTTAGTGTTTCTTGGGATGCCTTTTGTGTAACAGCTGACGACACTTCATCACATCGGGTGACACTTCTTACAGGTTCGCAGATGGCTATCTTGTCACCTTTTTGGATCTTGACACAATTCGGGAAAACATTCGCAATTCTGATCGGTATATTCTTGTCGGTGTTAACCAATGATTTTCCTACTAAGTACCTATCCTCTTTGTTGTCGCTACTTTGTACCAGTCCAACACAGCACCCAGCGATTTTCTCCACTTTACCGAATACGATCTTCTCGGTATTACCAGGTATCACCACAGTTTCCGCTGATCTTACATCCATTCTTCCTGGTCCCTCGTCTGGAGATAACATAAACTCTTCATTTCCGATATTCAGGATATTTCTCTGGTGATCGAACGAAAATCCATGTTGACGAATCACAGCCTCTCCCCGTACAACGGCCATTTCCCCCGTAACTGTACGTAAACACACTCTTCTTCTCAGAGGCATCAGCTTCAATCCTTGCACTGAGTTAGCCCGCACCAACGATACCATAGCGCCAGTGTCCACTGTCATTCGGATTCCCTTTCCATTGACTTTCCCGTCGATCACCAAACTGTCAGCGGTTCTTCCTAGATTTCTAATGGAAAAAATCCTGGGGGCTCTGTTCTCCCCAGTCAATACTCGCCCCTTAGTATTGACTGATTTTAGTTTTCCAGGTGCCTACGTTCTCTGGATGGTGAACGGGATCGCATTTGAACGCGGCAATACCGTTTAATGTGGCCATTCCTGCCACCTCTAAAGCACCTTATGTCCTGGAATCTTCTCTGGTTTTCTGTCTGGGTGTTGCTGACTCCCTTGTTTATTAGTAGCTCACATAGTTTGTCGACTTTCTTACACATCTCCTCCAAACCTCTGTGAGTGTTTTCGGGCTGTTCCTCGACCGCTACCGATCTTATCTTCGGTCTAGGGATGGCGCTAAAAGCAGCTTCGATTTCCAGCGCCCTGACCAGTGCTTCGCTGCTGGTAGAAAATCGGGATATTTGCAGCGCCCTCTCTAATTCGTTGTCCCTCAGTCCGCTGATAAAGCACTGAGCAGCGAGTTCCTCCCTAAATCCTTCCGGTGCTTCTGGATATGCCAGGTGTACCAGCCGACGTAAGTCTGCTTCAAATTCCTGCAGACTCTCTCCGGACCTCTGCAGGCGTGTCTTGATCTGTGCCTGGTAAAGTTGGCGTCGATGTTGGTCGCCATATCTTCTGTCCAGTGCAGCGACCAAAGTTTGGTATTCCTGCTGTTGGGCTGCAGGAATAGTTTGCAACAGTTCCAGGGCAGGGCCTCGCAGCGCGATGACAAGTGCTGCTGCTTTCTT